TTTTTTTTTGGCTCTTTTTTTATCAAATTTCCCTACAATTTGGTCAAGTGTTGGTTAAGTTCTTTATCATTTTATCGAACCCTCTTCTTTTTCTATATTTACCCTTTCTAGGTGAAAATGCTTGAAGCACTTCAAGATATTGAAATAGCTTCCAAATTAGTCGGTTTTGACGGTAATAGTAGCGACTCCATTGATGACAAGTACGAGAAGTTACGGTGTCATATTTCTCCTCTTTCTCATGACAATGAAGACTTTCAACTGATCGACAAGTATCTTCAAAGTACTCATGCACCCACTCATACTGTAAGTTCCTTTTTTTTCCCCCCGATTCACAACCTTTTTTTTTTCTCTTTTCTTTTATAATGTATTAATATTGCAAATTTTTTTTGCAGGAATGGGCTCTTGAATTGGAGGAAGTGTTTTCTCTTACTAGGGAAGGTGAAAACGACAAATATGCCCCTTATCGAGCAAAACTCAAGAACAAGATGCTTCTCTGGCATGGTGAGTCAGATAATTTGTGCATTATAAAATGTATTTACTCGACTGTATCACAATATATTATAGGTAAAAATGCATTTCTAGTCCACTTGATTTAACGTCATAACAATTTTAGTTCCAAGATTCCATATTTAGCCTTTTGGTCTTTGTGATTTAATATTTGCTTTAAAATACAAGACAAAAATTGCAACAAAATTTTAAATTACAAGACTAAATTGTTAATCGAAAATCTGAGAATATGGGAATTTGTAGTGATTGAAATTGCAGCAAAATATTAAAATTATAAGACCAAAAAACAAAATGTTGGAACCTTGGGACTAAAATTGCTATGGCCTTAAACAAGGACTAAAAATGCAATTTTGCCTATATTATATCATATACTTAGACATGACGTGAATTTTCGGATTACAGGATCACGTTTGACAAACTTTGTCGGTATTCTAAGTCAAGGGTTGAGAATTGCTCCTCCAGAGGCTCCAGCAACAGGCTACATGGTTTTTCGTCTATTGCTAATTTTTTATTGTGTTTGAAGTTTTTTAATTAGCGAATTTCCATTGTGTACTTAGTTTTTGATTTTTT